TTCACAAAAGTTGGTTCTTTTTTCTGCAATGTGAAATATAAGTTTCCAAAATAATGTTTGTGTTCCATTTCTTCTTGGTTAATTTGATTGTATCCAAGATGAAAGTACGATGATTCCTTTGTATCTATTTGGGTACAATATTTCTTTATTTAAATAGACCCAATTTCCTTATTCCCTACACAAGTAATGGAATAGGCTTGTTGGTGTATTTCTTATCACTTATGATCGCATGATGAGAGTCTATTTTTCTCACAAACTGTTGTCATTGGAGGTCACTGGGGAAACTAAAATTACAATACCAAAATCTCACTTGGTGATGTATGTCATGTGAGTGTAGTTGACCGATTCTTAGGAGGTCATTCTGTTTGCTGTCAAGTAACTCTAAATTCCTTTCTTCACCGAAACAAGACTCAGTCCAGATAGGTAGTAAAAACCAAAAAAAAAAGAAGAAAACAAGAAAGAGAAAAACAAAGACAGCATGTCTCTTATTAAATTGATTGTTCTTTTGATTTAACAGTTAACATGAGGGTCATGCCCCACTTATTAACATAAAATATAAAAACCCTCATTCCCAGACCTATTGTATGTGTTCCTTTGTCTAAAGAATTTAATGAATCAATTGCTATGGATTTATTCCATCAAAAAGAAGCAAGACTGTGGTTTCAGCAGTATTATGTGTGTGTGTGTGTGTGTCACTTTTTGGTCCACCTAATAGGATACTCATTGAGAATGGAAAAGAATTTTTCAATGATGATTTTAGAGAGACGGGAGAGAAACTGAATACACAGATAGTAAATACAGCAGCTGAAAACCCCTGGAGAAGTGGGATAAAAGAGGCACCATAATGCCATACTGACAAATAAGTGAAGTGATTAAAATGAAGGAAGATACAAAATGTTCCCTAAATGATGCATAGACAGTTTCATCAAAAATGCCAAATCTCCAAATCAGCTTATGTTTGGAAATAATCCAAATTTTCCATCTGTTCTCCTTGACAAACTACCGGCCCTTGATAACACATCAAAATCTGAAATTCTTCTGAAGAACCTAAATGCACTTCACTCATCTTGTTAGGCCTTTATCTCAGCAGTGAACAGATTCAACGTGCATTGAGAGCAAGAACAAGAGATTTCGCATCAAAAATATACCAAAATGGAGATACAGTTTACTACAAGATCGAGGGAATTCCAGCATGGAAGTGACCTTGTTGTGTGATCAGTAGAAGGTCAAATGCTGATGGTGAAACATGGATCAATGTATGTAAGGGTTCATTCAAGCTGCTTAATACATGAGAATGTTGAATTTGAAACCAATACCAATGCAAATAAGAACTCATCAAGCAAGAACGAGACATTTTCAAAAGCTTCTATGACAGAAGAAACAATCAGTAATAATATCCCCCACTGCTTCTTAGTAATGATGCAATGAAAAAAGCAAAGACCAAAATTAACTTCTGAAAAGGCAGTCATTATGTTCAGGAAATAAATAAATCTCAAATTCATGTTGTCAGTGTATTGTGCAGTATCAATCAACAGAAACTTCAGAGCAGCATATCAGGATAATGAAAATAAGCCAGTGCCTGGGTATTTCTCTAATCTTCATAACATTACGCAAGCAAATGATACAGAAAAAAGAAATGATGTATGATTAGCTTAGATGCTGTCCTATCAGGCAACATTTAAGCTAGCCCCTACAGAGGGCTCTTGATTGGGCCTTCAACACACTAGGTAGGGAGGAGTAAATGTGATAGGAAACAATAAACTACAAAAGAACTCAAAATTGATTGCTGCATTTAAGTATATTTTATCCTTTTAAAAATTGAATGATAATTCTTCTGCCGCTACTTAATTTAAAGACAATTTGATGTATGTAGGTTCTTTATTTCCATACAAACAATTATTTTTATTTCATGGGTGACTTGCTGGATTTCACAATTAATTTCAATTATTCACAAATTTATTTCCAAGTTATAAAAATTGCTATTGTACAAAAAGATTTGTCGCAAAATATTCACATAAACGAAAAATTCCTGAAAGCAATCGCAGTAATTTCAGTATTATGGGTCCAGATCCAGCCCAAAATGTTTTTAATTTGCTCACGGAGCCGGCCTGATTCTAAAATAGTATGTTGGGCTACGGCCTCTAGGAGTAAAGTTGAAAACCCAGACAATTTTATTTTGAAACCCTGTAATTTGAGAACAGTAACTTTTTTTTCATTTGAACATTAGCTATTGAAATTTATAGAGTTGTCCCATTTAACTGTTTTTATCAGTAGAAGCCAGGATGGCGGAATCCAAAAACAATCACAGTAATGAAAACTTGGGAATCCAGAATGTTTTTAATTTGCTCACAGAATCGACCTGATTCCAAAATAATAGATGTTGGGCTACAGCCTCTAGGAGTAAAGTTGAAAAAGCCTAACACACTGACATTCAAATTTATTATATAGAAGATTCATAAACAGTCCAGTCATGCTTAATTGCCAGATATATCCTTTGATAATTGAGTAACAGCTTAAGAGACAACCAAAGTCTTGGATATATCCAGAGCAAACAAAGTTATCCAGAAAGTCAAGCAGAATAGACTGTCCTTGACCTTTTTAAGAAATTAAACCATGTGGAAAAGTCCACAATATTAACATTTTTTGATGCTGCTTGTAAAAACTTTCTAGGTGGTGCCTCTCAAAGGGGATACTTGATATTACTTGCTGACAAGGCAGAAAACACATGCCCTATTCATTGGCAATAACAAAAATGGAGGATCATAAAGAGTTCACTAGCAGCTGAATGTTTGGCCCTGCAAGAAGCAAGTGAAACTGCATTCTACCTGAAAACAATTCTAGAGGAAATTCTTCAGGGAAATGAAGGCAAAACATTCTTCCAGAACCCATGAAGAAAAGAGGTTGATACTGGATGAAGCCATTATAAAGGATATGATGGCAAAGGGAGAAATCAATGAGGTAAAACTGATTGGCAACCAAAAGTCAACTGGCTAACCCCCTGACAAAAGCTACAGCATCATCAGAGAGTTGGTGTGATGTCTTGCAGCAAGGAAACATTATCCCTGAACATTAAAAAAAGGATAATAAATGAAAGATGGGGAGTGTTGCTTATCTCCCTTGATCTGGAGTTGTTGCATATAAATAACCACCATATTGGTTGACACTGGCTTTTTGTAAGAAGATAACAGTTATCAATTTTTTTCTTGAAATATTTCAAATAACTTATTATATAAACTGTACAAATAAAGAATATCTTCCTTTTCTGCCTCTCCGTCTCACTTTTTCAGTCACTCTTCCCCACTCATTGAGCAAAGCTAGTTGAAACATCCTCAGGAATGAAGAGACAAGTTATAATAAAAATAAAGAAAGAAGCAACTTTTAGAATAGACAACATTTTCAGAACCAATAACATAGTTTCTTTGTCAACAATTACAGTTGTCAGTTTAACAACTACCAGTTCAGTGTTGCTATGGTCTACTTAACTGGTTGGTGAATTAGTATGTATAAACATATCACAAAAACAACAGCACTGCCCTGGGCTGGGAACTGGTAATCTGTTCAACAATTTAATCAGGGAATTTTAGTTTTAGGCATGCAAAAAACACAAACATAGTCTCCAAGTCTTTTACTTGATCAGTCTGCAAATGGAACTGTAGGATAGAAAGCTGACAAAATTCTTTTCATGCAGTATCTTGCAAGGAGTGGTGAAGAGGTGGGGGTAGTGAACAACTGGACAATGAACTGCTACTATTAAATGCTGTCCCAGCATTCAAGGGCCAGAATCAACCTGCTTATATTGATGTATCTCACCATGACTGGGCTGGAATTATTATCAAAACCCTTAATTCCAAGTGTAGGGATACAAAAGGCAATTGATTCTTTTTCATTGTGATAGGTGGGTCACGTGACATCAGGGGTTAATGACGAAGACTAATTGCAATGTAGAGACCAGAGAAGAAGGCTGTCCCTAAACCACAGCCATAGGTCTTACAGGAAATACCACATGGCTTCACCAGGTTCATAGAGAAACTGCTATAACTCTAGTTGTACCTTCAGGAAATATTACAAGTAAGGTTCTCCACTTTTTTTTTTTTTATACGCTATTGTTACATGTTATAATTTCTCTGCAGGGGACATGTGTAAATATAGTTTTGTATATCACTAAGACATCTTAGTGGTATAAAAAGTCTCTCTGAGTACAAAGCATGTTTGTCATTTCTTTTCCTTTAAGCCATTCTATGAGGTACAGTGTTATTATATCATGTGTATAATATTGCCCATAATGGGGAAAATATAAATTGGGAAAATAAAGGTTTCTTCTATAGTTGTCTCCTGTTATACAAGCTTCTCTATATTTGGCTTTTACAAAACCCTCTTCTAGTTTCTCATTGGTTGAAAAAAACTTCTTAGGATGGCTTCATACTAGCTAGATTCTTGCAATCAGTTAACGTTATCTGGTCCAGTTATAATTTTCCCAATGCTGATACAATTTAAAACCACTGCTTATTTTCTCAAGAATTATCTGCTTTTGCAAGGGAGACTGATCAATAACACTAACAGTTATCTATCAAAGAAGTTTTTGTTCAATCTCTAGTCCTACCTGGATTTCTATTCATTTTGACATACAATTTTTAAAATGTATCTGAAGTATTTTATATCGTCTTGTATATAAAAATATGAAAGAAAATAATTATACTTCAATATGGATTAAAATTTATTTTGTGAAGAAATTAAATTTTGTTTTCAATAGCAATTTTTCTTGTTTGCAAGGAATGAAATTTAAAGTAAAACTTTAAAATGAATCTTTCATTTTGATACCTTATTTCATTTTGAAAATTTCCTTTTGAGTTTTATTTTTGAAAAGACTGTTCTTAATTGTATTCTAACCAGTATAATAAAAGTAGTAAAATATTTTAATTTTTCATATTAAAAAAAAAAAAAACGTAAAACATTTCTTTATATTCTTAATGAAAAAAATCCCATTTTTTTGTCTTTCCTAGATTTAGAAATCATCATGTCATTCAGATTGTACTATTTTCTCTTACTTCTCCTGTTGTCATCTGAGGGTCGTGAACGAAAAATTCTTGATGATTATTTAAATACATGTTTGGATGGCAAGAATCATAAATTGAGGCCAGGACCCGAGGGAACACTTTTCCAAAAGGTATTTATTTAATTTTCAAGTTCAATAGTGGAAAAATACTTAACAGAAGAAGGCAGCTCTTCTGCTTGTTGTGAAATTTGTGAATAAAATAATCATTTAAATTTAATAAAAAATTAATTTGGAGTTTAATTAAATGAAATAGGAAATTCTTTACTTTTATCATTCTTTTACAAAGTAAATTATTTTTTCATATATGGTCAAATTTGTTAGATTTTGACTGGGTCAATTTTTAATAAAAATATTACTTTTCTATTTTCTTAAAAGTAGCAATTGATACATGAATCAAAATAAGATTGACATTGATCCAGACTCTTCAAGAAGGTATATGCTGTTATTTTATTTTGAAAAAAGTATTTTAACTGCATGAAAATAAAAATACACACAATGAAATTTTGTACAAATTAGAGAACATTTTTAAACCTTTGATATGTACATAAATTATAACTGACTCAAGGGCAAAAAAAACAAATTTTATAGTGCTAAAAGTACAACCCCTCTTCTCACCCTTGTTGGGTTTTAAAAAACTTGCCACTTAAAATCACAGTTGTATGAAGTTCAAAGACTAAGGGAAGTTGCTTCAATCAATTAGATTGGTTCAACATTGCTCTCTGAAGAAAGTTTTATAAACTGACTCAATAAATCTGATTCAAACTGCTGACCTCTGTCTGTGGTAACAATAGAGGGGATACCAAAATGGGATACTTAACTAGAAATAATTTTTTTCCATATATGTGGAAATGTCTGCAATGGAGAATGCTTTGCACCAGTGAGAAAAACGAATCAATACATGTTAACAAATAAGTGAATCCTTCACAGGGAGGTAGGGGTCCTGTAATTACTAATATTCTGTACAAGGGTCCAAAAGAAATGAATTGAAGTTCTGAGACATTATCTGCTGGAATATTTTAATAAAATCTTTTAAAATCAGAGGTAAGATGAATCAAATAATCCAAATATCTTATCTCCAATCTTTATCTGAAGCTGATTGGAATGTACTCAGCAAGGGTATATGATCAATCATGGTGGGGAAGATTCACACCTCCAGTAACTGGTAATAATATCTTGCCTGGCTTTTTGTAGGTGTTTAATTTTGTTGAAAAAAAGAAATTGACTTTCACACATCTCTGCCAATGAAAGAAATATCAACTGCCTTACACAACTCTTCCTGATTCAGTATGTGACAATTTCACTGCATGAGACAAAATAGATTTCATTGCATGAAAAGCTGCTAGTGCAGAATCAGCAAAATGTAATGCATAATAAATAGTGTAAAGGAGATAATAAATAAAAAGCAGAATTACTATAATGGAAAAGGAGGTGGAGCTTAATTACAGTTGTACTCTAGCAATAATAGGAGGTAGACCAACTATGTTAGTGTGAGGGGGGAGGATCAGTGCCATATTTGAGACATAGCAAGAAAATGAGGTTAACTTTATTGAATGAATATGAATTTAGAAATGGCTAAATTAAAACAAAATGTGTACTGCTTGTAAAATGCATACTCTGAAGGTCTTCCCTACCAAAAATTTGTAACAAATAAGACATACTTATATTCAGACTCTATATGTAAGCTATTTTTCTGTTTACAGATAGAGGACTGACACTTATAACAATTTCTCCATGTTATATAGTGCATACCAAGTATTAAATAAAGTCAACTTGATAACTAACTCTAGTATGGAACATTCTGATAAAACAAATAGAAAATGATAGAAATCTTATTGCACATGTTGAAATGCCATCAAATAGTTGAAGTCATCCAATATTAGATAAACTTTTAATTAAATTGTGTAAGACAGGAGTCGCCAATTGGAGTGGCTGGTGGAGAGAAATTTACCAAGCCGTCCCAATTTAAGTATTAATATATTCACAGCATGGTAAAACTTTTCCTGGTGTGTTGTTCTAAATACATTTGGATAGTGTTGTGTAAATTAAGAATTGGACAAAGTCCGACAATTTATTAAAGACATTTTTATGTTTAACATTCTTTTTATAGATACAAGTATTTAAGTAAATGCTCTGTTTATAATAAACAGTATTAAATAACATTTACCGGCCTGAATGTCCGAGAAATTTTCATAGAATATATTCGTCCTTTGACAGGATTCGAACCTGCATCCTATACGGAACCGTCATTTACGCTTTGTCCAATTCTTAATGGATGACATCATTTGTTTACATTTGATACGCCATGAGCAGTTATGAATGTACGAGATTCATGGAAGATTGAAGTTTATAAGCAGTAAATTCGACCTTGTCTACCGAACGCTTCTTTGTGGCCGATCGGTAAGGCAACTGGATCTTATTGGATTAGATTAGTTAATGTCCAGGTTTATTCCAGGTTTGAATCTTCATTTCACTCTGTGCAGATTATTTTTCTAACTTTAGATTTCTTTTTTCTTTTTTTTCCCTCTCACTTACCACACAGAAAAATACATTTAGTAACGTTCTTACTCTTATCTCAGTCACTTGTAAAATGTTTTATGCTATGACAGGGAAAAGGAAAAATTCATGAAACTCGTTCAGCCATTTTGTTTTGTGCCCTTGGAATTTACTGAACTGATTATGAATTATAAAAACAACTTTCATTAAAATCATATCAAAGTCTCTACTTTTCTTACATTATTATGTAACCATTATCATTACTCTCTTCCTGGTGTTTGTGTTAAACTGTTTAGATTTAATTCCTAGATTTAAAAAACATGACTTTATTCTTTTGCATATTTTTGTGTTAGGAGAAAATACTTGTGTGTTTGTGTGCCTTTTTTAATGTTTGGTTTTTATTATCTTGTAGTGTGCTCCCTGGAACAAACGATCATGTTGCCAAAGAAATGTTACAAAAAGTATACACACTTCTGATGTCTGGTTCAATTTTAGTTGGCATCATTGCGCTCCTCTATCACCGCAATGTCAGTCTTATTTCATCCAAGACCTTTGTTTTTATGAATGTACTCCAAATGGTGGACCCTGGATTGTCCAGGTAAATTTTATTCAATCAAAGTGAAAATGAGTCAAAATGATTCAAAGTTGGCATTTAATGAGTTGGTCTGTTGTGGAATTTAAATAACAACTAGAAGGCCAAAAAATAAGAACTAGAAGGCCAAAATTAAGGAAAATAAAAATTATCTGAATTATCAGGTCATCCCATAAGTTCTGTCCGATTTTTAACTTTTTGTTAAAATGAATGAAATTTAAAGAGTATTTTATAATGTCTAATGGAGCTGAACATTATTTTTATGTTTAGATGCATTTAAACTGATCAAATTTTATTTCAGAGAACAATAAAATTAAATTTTGTTTGATTAAAACCCTGCTAACATGGAAGTACCCAAGAATCATTTGAGGCACATAATGCTTTATGAGTTCAAGAAAGGAAACTCAGCAGCCGAAGCGGCTAGAAACATTCACTCAGTTTATGGAGAGGAATGTGTGAATGAAAGAACTTGCAGAAGATGGTTTGCAAAATTCAGAGGTGGAGATTTCACCCTTGAAGATGAAGATCGAACCGGACGTCCAGTTGAGTTTGATGAAAAGTTTCTTGAAGCAGCCCTTGAAGAAAATCCTGCTTTATCAGTTGAGGAATTAGCAGAGGTTCTCAGTTCAAATCATACAACTGTTCATCATCATCTTCAACAACTTGGAAAAGTTCCTAAACTTGGAAAATAGGTGCCTCATGAATTGTCTGAAAACAACCTCAAATCCCGAGTTGATATCTGCTCTTCTTTCCATTCTTGCCAACTTGTTTCACCTTTTTTGGATAGACTTGGGACTGGCGACGAAAAATGGATCATTTATCGAAATGTTAAGCATCATAGACAGTGGCTTGGTAAAGGGGAAGGACCCCAGCCACAGCCAAGAAGGGAACTTCATGGGCAAAAGGTTCTTCTTTCAATCTGGTGGGATCGCTGAGGAATAATCCACTTTGAATTCTTACCACCTAATGCAACAATTAATGCTCAAATATACTGTCAGCAATTAGAGCGTTTGAACCGAGCTTTGAGGAAAAAAAGACCTGCTCTAGTGAATCAAAAAGAGGTGATGTTTCATCAGGACAATGCGCGACCCCACACAGCAAGAATCATGTCACAAAACATCGAAGAACTTGGTTGGGAGAAAATTTCTCATTCACCTTATTCTCCCAATCTTGCTCCTTCAGACTACCATTTGTTTCATAGCTTACAGAATCATTTGGAAGAAACAGCTTTTGTAACACAGGAAGAGATTAAAACTGACATTTGTAAGTTCTTCGAATCAAAGCCAAAAGAATTTTACAGTAATGGAATTAGTAAGCTTGTTAATAGATGGAAGGAAAATACATTGTTGATTGAATCAGGGAAAATACATTGTTGATTGAATCTGTAATTAAATGTAACATTTGGTCATTTGTTTTCTTTATTCAAAATTCGGACAGAACTTATGGGATGACCTGATATATAAATTCTAATGATGTTTTTGTTTGATTAATACTAAGCAATATTGATTTTTGAATTTTTAATGTAACATTTAGTAAATGATCAGTTTGAAAGTTATTGTGGGAATTAATTTTTTTCATTAAGTGTTTGAAGTAGTTACCTTATTGCTTAATGTCTAAAATAGTCATTGATTGCAATGGTATTCATTTTGGTGTTTATCAAACAAAAGATTATTAGCATTTATATATTTTCACTCTTTTTGTTTGTCCTTTACATAACAAGAACCTTTATTCACATACATACAATGATCATCAAAATTGTTGGCATGGTTCATTAAAAAGTAGTTTGGTATGTAAAACTTTTGGGCTACTTAAGTAAATTAATTTCAAACCCATATCGAGGGGGATTAGCATTGTTAGTATAGGAAATTTTATCGTCTTTTTTGCAGTGAAAAACATTGATTTGGAAATTCTTGCAAAAATCAAATAATTGTCACATTTTAATGAAACTTTCAGGACTTATTCACAAATGAATGAAATTATTTTAGAAATGATTTTTTTTTGTTTACTTTTTTACATCTGTTAGCCCCTATTATACAGGCAGTATAATCACCTATTTTATTTGGTAATTTATTTTAATGCTATTTATGTTACAGAAAAAATATTTTATTTGAATTTTGCATCATTCAGACTGATTAATTAGTCTCATGTTTCTAAACTGATTCAAGGGAGATTACTTAAAGTTTTTAAAGGAAGGTCGCCTGATCTTAATTGCTTTCTTTGGTTTCCTATAAAGAAACCAAACTCAAAACATCCAATTTATTAATTTAATTAAAAAAAAAGACTTCTATCAGTTGTACTATCATAATTCTCACAAAATATAGTTTCTTAATTGAATTGTTAATAAGTGTAAATACTGTTTTTGCTTTGGATTTATTAATTTTTAAGAAAAAGTCCCGTTAATTTAAGTGATTCAGGATGATAAAAATTGTTTTTGTGACGATGGTAAAAATAAAAAAAATTAATCTGGAGCCCTGTAGTTTAACACTATAATTTATTAAAATACTTCCATTAGGATTCACTGAATTTTCCAGGGACCCACTCAAATCACTACCTGTTGGTCTTAGGGATTACTTTAAAAACCTATCAACATCACTGATTCTGGTGTAAAAGTTCAAGATTTAATATTAGGTTTTTTTGTTGTTTTTTTTTGTAATTAATAAATCTGAAGCAAAAACATTATTTATCTTAAGAAGTCAATCCTGTACTTGTGGTGCATGAAAAATAAATAAAACAATGCATCCTGTTTTTAAAATTTACCAAAAATTAGGGAAATATTGACCAAAATTTGAAAGTTTTGACTAATCTACTCATAGTCTGTTTATTAATGTCATAGTCTGTTTAATAAAGTTTTTGATGTCATTATAATAATGTTAGAAATACAGTAAAGATAAAGAAATCACTTGGTTAAGGGATTGTAACTGACATGAAAAATTTATTTTTTCCAATTGATAAGTTTTTTTGCTTTAATTGATAAGCAGATCTGATTTTTTGACCTTAATGTTTTTATGAGGATATAGGTTGCTTTATGTATTTTTATGTAGGAGCAGAGTTGTTTTTACAATTATTTGACCTTTGAATGTGCTGACAAAAAGGATATACCTTTTTGCTTTATGTATTTTATGTAGGAGCAGAGTTGTATTTTTATTTGACCTTTGTTGAATGTGCTGACAAGTTGAGGATATACCTTGTTGCTTTTAATATTTTTATGTTTGAGCAGAGTTGTAAGATTACAATTATTTGACCTTTGAATGTGCTGACAAGTGAGGATATACCTTGTTGCTTTATGTATTTTTATGTAGGAGCAGAGTTGTAGTATATTTGATTTGAATGTGCTGACAAGTGAGGATATACCTTGTTGCTTTATGTATTTTTATTAGGAATGCAGAGTTGTAAGTATTACAATTATTTGACCTTTGAATGTGCTGACAAGTGAGGATATACCTTGTTGCTTTTATGTATTTTTATGTAGGAGCAGAGTTGTAAGATTACAATTATTTGACCTTTGACAAGTGAGGATATACCTTTGTTGCTTTATGTATTTTTAGATATAGAGAGTTGTAAGATTACAATTATTTGACCTGTGCTGACAGAGTTGAAGATATTATTTGACCTGCTGACAAGTGAGGATTGTTGCTTTATGTATTTTTATGTAGGAGCAGAGTTGTAAGATTACAATTATTTGACCTTTGAATGTTTTTATGTAGGAGCAGAGTTGTAAGATTTTTATTTGACCTTTTTAATGTGCAAGGATGAAAACTTATTCTGATTATGATTGTTATGACCTTTTTTATGTGCTTTGTTTGCTTTTTATGTATTTTTATGTAGGAGCAGAGTTGTAAGATTACAATTATTTGACCTTTGAATGTGCTGACAAGTGAGGATATACCTTGTTGCTTTATGTATTTTTATGTAGGAGCAGAGTTGTAAGATTACAATTATTTGACCTTTGAATGTGCTGACAAGTGAGGATATACCTTGTTGCTTTATGTATTTTTATGTAGGAGCAGAGTTGTAAGATTACAATTAAACCTTTGAATGTGCTGGACCTTTGAATGTTGCTTTTAATTTTTATGTAGACAGAGTTGTTTGATGTTGAATGTTTTTTATTTTTTATGTAGGAGCAGAGTTGTAAGATTACAATTATTTGACCTTTAATGTGCTGACAAGTGAGGATATACCTTGTTGCTTTATGTATTTTTATGTAGGAGCAGAGTTGTAAGATTACAATTATTTGACCTTTGAATGTTGAATGTGCTGACATTTGATCCTTTGAATGAGGGATATACCTTGTTGCTTTATGTATTTTTATGTAGGAGCAGAGTTGTAAAATTATTTGACCTTTGAATTACAATTATTTTGATGTATTTTTATATGAATTGTTACTGACAATGTGCTGACAAGGGATATACCTTGTTGCTTTATGTATTTTTATTTAGGAGCAGTAAGATTACAATTATTTGACCTTTGAATGTGTAAGTGAGGATTACAATATTTTTATTTGACCTTTGAATGTGCTGACAAGTGAGGATATACCTTGTTGCTTTATGTATTTTTATGTAGGAGCAGAGTTGTAAGATTACAATTATTTGACCTTTGAATGTGCTGACAAGTGAGGATATACCTTGTTGCTTTATGTATTTTATGTATGTAGGACCTTTGAATGTGCTGAAAGTGAGGATATACCTTTTGTTTTATGTTTTTTATGTAGAAGATTACAATTTTTGACCTTTGAATGTGCTGAATGACCTTTGAATTTGACAAGTGAGGATATACCTTGTTGCTTTATGTATTTTTTATGTAGGAGCAGAGTTGTAAGATTATTATTTGACCTTTGAATGTTGCTGAGGAGCAAGTTGTGATTACAATTATTTGACCTTTAATGTGTTTTTATGTATTTTATGTAGGAGCAGAGTTGTAATTATTACAATTGACAAGTAGGATATAAATGTATTTTTATGTACAGAGTTTTGACCTTTGAATGTGCTGACAAGTGAGGATATACCTTGTTGCTTTATGTATTTTTATGTAGGAGCAGAGTTGTAAGATTACAATTATTTGACCTTTGAATGTGCTGACAAGTGAGGATATACCTTGTTGCTTTATGTATTTTTATGTAGGAGCAGAGTTGTAAGATTTTATTTGACCTTTGAATGTGCTGACAAGTGAGGATATACCACGTTTTTATGTATTTTTATGTAGGAGCAGAGTTGTAAGATTACAATTATTTGACCTTTGAATGTGCTGACAAGTGAGGATATACCTTGTTGCTTTATGTATTTTTATGTAGGAGCAGAGTTGTAAGATTACAATTTTGACCTTTGACCTTTGAAACCTTGTTGCTTTATGTATTTTTATGTAAGTGAGGAAGATATTATTTTTTGTTGCTTTATACCTTGTTGCTTTATGTATTTTTATGTAGGAGCAGAGTTGTAAGATTACAATTATTTGACCTTTGAATGTGCTGACAAGTGAGGATATACCTTGTTGCTTTATGTATTTTTATGTAGGAGCAGAGTTGTTTAAGATTGTAATTATTTGATTGTGCTTTATGTACAAGTGAGGATATACCTTGTTTTTATTTAGGAGACCTTTGAGGATATACCTTGTTGTTTTATGTATTTTTATGTGGAGCAGAGTTGTAAGATTACAATTATTTGACTTTAATGTGTGACAAGTGAGGATATAAGTTTTGCTTTTATGTATTTTTATGTAGAGCAGAGTTGTAAGATTACAATTATTTGACCTTTGAATGTGCTGACAAGTGAGGATATACCCTTGTTGCTTTTATGTATTTTTATGTAGGAGCAGAGTTGTAAGATTGACCTTTGTGCTGATATAATTGTTGTTTATGTATTTTTTTTTTTTTTTTTTTTTTAAAATGTCTTGAACCGATGTTGTTGATGTTTTTTTTATGTAAGTGATTTTTTTTTGAATGTGTTTAAATTTCTCTTTATACAAATTTTTATGTAGGAGCAAATTCACTAATTGAACCGATGTGTCTACCTTTATGTATTTTTATGTAATTGAATTTGTTTTTTGTATTTTTTATGTAGGAGCAGAGTTGTATTTTTGTGCTGCTGACAAGGTTTTAAAATTTTATGTAGGAGCAGAGTTGTTACAATTAAAATGTGCTCTATTTAAGGATGTAAAAAAATTTTTTTTTTTTTTGAGGATATACCTTGGAATTTTTACTTTGGTGTTTACTGAATCATTTAAATTAATAAATTCTTTGATTTGTATGTTAGTATTTTTTTTTTTTTTTTTGTACATAGATTTTTCAAAATTAATAAATTTTTGATTTGTATGTTAATATTTATTGCCTTTTTCAAACCTTAATATTTTTATTAATCCTTAATAAAAATATAATAGAAACCTCTTATATTTTTATTAAGGATTCCATAGATAAAATTACACAATAGTTTTTTTTTTTTTTTTTTCTTGTATAAAGTTGAATCTTGTCAACTTCTTCATACTATTTTCTGTATATTTTCACTAATTCAAATCATTGTTCTCATTGTTTTGTTTTGTTTTTTTGTTTTGTTTTTTGTTTTTTTTGGCTATAGATGTTATTGTAAATATATTTCAGTCAAAGTAGCCTTTGGTCATCTTCATGCCCATAAGTTTGATATGGGATATTTTCTATGTTGATTATTGTTATTTTTGTTCTTGTGATGTCATATTTCTTGTTCGTTCCTGCTAACACAGAGTATATGAATTTCACTGCTTGATCTAGGAATTCAACTGACCATTAGAAGGCACCACCACTTGATTAACCCATGACTATATCCACTGTGCTGCCATTAAGAAAGACACTGGTGCTGTATTTTCAGACAAGATATCCCATATAGGCCAAAATAATGGACACCTGAAGATGGGCAGAATGCACTTTGTCACAATGTGTCTATAATAAAATCTATAGTAATCAAAATGAGAAGGATAGTTTGAATAAATCAAATGTGTCAAAGTTTACTAATTGCTCATCTCAAAAATCAAGACAAAATCTTGTGTTGAAAGTAAAATATGAGCTGGTTTATCTATTGATTATTGGTTCCTTTTAAACAATAAATTGTTCTTATCTAGAATTGTATCATTGTTTATTATATCCAGCATACATAGAATTTCTTTCAATGAAGTAAATAAATTCTAAATAAAAAATGTCAAATATATTACTTAATATATATTTATATGGGGTGGTACTAGAAAGTTTTAGATGTATTGTGATTTTAACATTCACTGGAGACGTATACTGAGTCAGTCTGACAATAAGCTTTTTTTTATTTAACACAGGGAATGTCCTAATTTTTCTGAATATGCAATAAATGGAGGGGTAAAAAGAAAATTATTTAAAGAGTCAACGAGTCCAAAATTAATGAAAAGGATGGTCTTAATATGCTTGGTGGGAATCACAAAATTTCCTCAAAAAAAAAAAAAGATCCCCCCCCTACCCTATTAGGTACATAAAAGTACTTGTGTTCAATTATTACATAAGGTCAGAATGGCTCTGTGATGGGTTTTTGATTGGTACATGTATTTCAAGATTGGCCGAGTGTTGGTTCAGTTGACTAGTGTTCAGGGCAATTGATCACTAGCAAAATGCTAAAATAATTTGAACTTTTCCATGTGGAGTGTCATCAGATTTTTTTTTATCAGTTATAGAGTCTACCAAGTCTAGTCTAGGAACTTTCCAATACCTTTTCATTGTGTTTAATTTTACAAGTAAAAACAAGTCTTTGCTCTAGTTTGAAGTCAGTGTTTTTTTTTTTCTTATGTGTAAAAAGAAGTATTTCTGATTTAGTATGGAATCTCAGATGACTTGTGTGCATCACTTTAAAATTATGGAAGTGATAGCCAATATATTTATTATCTTGCCATAATTACAGGACAGTGGAATGAAAATACGCAAAGAGAGATATTTTAATCTTCCTCTTTGCTCAGATGAATGCAACAAATGGTGGAACAGTTGTAAGAGTGACAGCACTTGCATTGAGAATTGGACCAGAGGCTTTGATTGGTCAACAGGTAATTGGCATTTATTTGTTTTCCTGTACAATCTTTTTGAGTATTTTTTACTGTAATTGGTCAATGTACTACTGGAGGTTCCCTTGGATGACTGTAATAATTTTCTAAATTATTTGTAAATTTCTTCAGATTACTTATTACATGGAATCAAGATGCATTACATTTGATGCATAATAAGGGGTTTTAATGACTTTTATAAGTGAATTTCCATACTCTCAAATTTCAGCCATTATACCTTCCAACCTTCAAGTGTCTGTCTTTGAACTTGATTATCTTCCTGGAATGCTTTCTTCACTTTATGGGGGTAGATTGATCTAATTCCTTTTTCTATGCTTAGGGGATATTTTTTTAATGTCATATCCCTTTAGGACATAACCAATCATGACTCTCTACAGATTCATTTTGTGTTATCTATGAATTACCATGTATTCTTAGGAAATATAATCCCTCCCTCACAATTTTAAATTCACACTTTCCTCCTCTTAGACTGGTTGCCACCTAATGACACATTAGGGCAGAACTGTGATATTGCACTGAATTTGAAAGTTGTAGTTTTACCTGGAAAATAATGATGCAAAATATTTTTTTTAAAAACATTACTTTTTTTTTTTTTTTTTAGGAAACTAGTTTAAATGTTTGGGAGTGTTGTAATTTCATTCTAGTGATTAGTGAAAGAGTTAATACTGTCAAAAAATTTTGCACCCTTATGGAAAACAAATGTGTAAATATAATTTAAGATGTTTTCAAATTGCAACATTTACCTCATCCTCAATAAATCAAGGAAAAATAAATTAGAATTATGAATAATATAAATATATTCACTTTATAAAGGCAAAATGAAGATTAAAATACAATGTATTGTTGTGGAAACAAAGAACGAGTAACCTGGAATGCAGAATTTGTCGCTGTTGTTGTTACTGCTGAAGAGGTTAATTTCTTCTTCGCCTCAGCAAACATAAATTCAAGGATAAGAAATACATTGTATTTTGGGTAAATAAATATATACAAAGCCAGCATACTACCTGTTGCTGTTGTAAAAAGCAACAAAGTGGCAGAGGAAGAAAGAAAGAGAAAGAATGTTGGTCATGGCTGTCAGCTGAATGTTTTGTGAAGAAGGTGGCATCGAAGAATGAAAATTGAGTAGTATCACGTTCAGTGTGTCTGCAGCATTCTTGACCAGCCTCTGCAGGCTGACATCTCAGCCTGGTCTCTCTGTCTCTGCCCTTTGCAACGTTGAAACAGGGAATTTATATCTGTCTTATTGGCTCCTTATCATAGTCTGGGTCTTTTAGCGGTAGTTATTTCTACTGGCTAATATATAAAGTTCATTTTATCATTCAGTACCAAAAACATGTGTTGAGCCATGATGTGTAGAGACGCATTTTTGCATTCTGCCTTGGGTCGTCGAGCAGTCAACATCCAGTTTAGTATAAAGAGTGTAAGAGATATGACGACCCTCCCCCCTACACACACACACTTTTAGAAAATTAATCGGGTAAAAGCTGTATCAATTAATTAGTAATAAATATGTCTTGAAGTTTGTAGGAAATGTGACTTTTCTGCCTGATCAGGTTTGAATTGTCAGTGTATTGTCGAATTGTGATGTATTTTTACATAAGGAGAATGTGTGTATGGTTGATTTTCTTTTTCTAAGACAGCTGGTTTCAGTCTATCCATAACAACTGTGTCTGACTGATTACCTTTTTATATTGTGAAGTATTTTTCCGTTCTGTGTAAGACTTTGTATGGACCCTGATACTTTACTGATAGAGGTTTTTTAATGCATCTTCTCGTATGAAAATGTATTCGCAGGTATACAGATTTGTTGGTGTGTATGTGTGTTTGTTTAAATTCTGAGCAGGTGTGAATTTCTTGTATGAAATATGATGTCAGATTAGAGTTTATATCATTTTCAAAAAATTGTCCTGGTAAAGATAACACGAAGACTATTTCAGCTGGTATGCAGCCAAGGTCTTCTTTACTAATGTTCCTTATAGATAGGAATATGAGGGGTAAATTATTAATCCAATTGATCAAGTTTTCCTTCATCACTAATGATGTCTTGAGTTGCCTGTGAAATCTTTCCACTAATTCATTAGCACATGAGTGGTATGCTGTGGTCTTAATGTGCTTTGCTCCCAGCAAGTTGCTGAATTCCTGAAAAAGAGATGATTGGAATTGTGTGCCACAATCAGTGGTGATAACATTGGGTATTCTGAAAATAGAAATCCAATCTTTTAAAACAATGTTTGCGATTGAAGTTGTTGATGTGTCTTTCAGTGCAATTGCAGTAGGTCAACGTGAAAATCTGTCAACAATAGTTAGGATATAGGAATAACCTTGAAAGGTCGATAAGGGACCCACGATGTCTAAGTGGATGTGTTTAAATCTTGCCTCAGGGTTGCTGAAAGTACCTATTGGTGTTTTAGTTTGACATTGTATTTTGTTCTTCTGACACTTTAGGCATGTTGATATCCAGTTTCTCATGTCTGATGCCATGTTTGGCCAAACAAAACATTCACTTATAATTTTTTTATGGTGGATTGCTTGCTTGGATGTGAATGATTGTGAAGGTGTTGAAATATTTGTTTCCTCAGTGTGGGTGGAATTTACAGTCTAGGGTTGGTTAATGTAGTGTCACAATAAAGTGTTTTATTACCGAAAGGAACTGGAAATTGTTTCAATGTTAAAGAGGTATTCGATAATATCTCTGAGTAGAGTCAGATTTCTGTTCTTCAGAAATTAAATTATAACTTAATGTATCATCAGTAATTGCTGTTATATTTGTGTGTAACAGTGCATCAGCCACAATATTTTGTTGTCCTTTAATATAATGAATGTCTGTTGTATACTGAGAAATAAAATCTAAATATCTAATTTCTTTAGGGGTGTATTTGTGTGAGGGGCTTGTGATCTGTGTATATTGCAAAGTTTCAACCTTCAAGTATGAGTCTAAACTGTTTATTTGCTAAATATAGAGCCAACAATTCTCTAGAAAAGGTGCTATAATTTGTTTGTATCTTGGTTAATTTTGCTGAGAAAAAGGAAATAGGTTTTCTGACCGAAAACAATTACAAGCTCCTATTGCGTCCATAGTGAAGAAGATGAGTGCATTTTCATCGTTGCTGATATGCTAGAGTTTAGTAAAGTTTGTAAGTCCTGATTTGGTTGTATTGAAGGCATAAAGTGCATCCTGTTATAATGTTCTTTTTTTTTTCTAACAGATTAGTCAAAGGCAGAAGTATAGTTAATAGATTAGGGGTGAAACAGCAATAATAATTTATCTGTCTGATGAACCTTCATAACTATTGAATGAAAATAGGTACAGGAAAATTTTTAATTGCTTCCATTTTTCCAGATAAGGATGAAATACCATGTTGGCCTATTATGTGTCCAAGAAATTTAACTTGAGTGGTGCTGAAAATACACTTATCTAAGTTTATTTTTAGGCCAAATTGGGATAGTCTCTGAAAGACTTGATGTAATTGGTCTTTGTACACTGCTGTGGCTAGCAATGAGGATATCATCAATGTCAACGTATACAAATGGTAATCCACTCAGGACTTGATCAATTAGACTTTGAAATGTTTGGGCAGCATTCCGAAGACCAAATTGCATTCGGACAAACTCTTATAGCCCAAACGGAGTTGTCACTGCTGTTTTGGGAATATCTTCTTCCACTACCAGTATCTGGAATTGTTTTCACTAGATCGATCTTGGAGAATATACATGAGTGTGAAATCATATATATGCAGGACTGTGACAGAGAGAGTCTGGGAAACACACACACACACGTATATTTTTTTTTAGTGAAATTGGAGTGGATTTGAACAGCGAAATTAGATCAGAGCATTTTTGTTTACTGATAGTGAAACCTGATCTAGGGCAGGAGCTGTACCCATTGGAACTGGGTCATTAGCAGACAATGGAAATGATTGAAATAATTTTTATTGATTAAAACTTGGAATAGAGCTGAGTAAGCAAGGAGGACCTTTTGAATTCACATGATTTTGGTTGAAACAGCCAAAACCCCTGTGATAAGCACGTGTGAAGTAGTAGGGTCAAGGTTCAGGTGTAACCAGCTGGATTTTTCTATATAAACATGTAGTTATGCTGAAGAAGAAGCAGATGGGAGAAAATTCTTCAAGAGAGAGACAGAAGAGGCAGATGGGAGTGAGCAGACAGAAGGGAGGCAGACGGAAGGGAGGCAGAAGAGAATTAGCCCGAGCAAGAGTTGGGCTAGAGACAGTGGAGAGTCGAGTTGGAGACTCAAGAAGGAGAGAAAGTGACGTCAGAGATTGGAACGAAGCATTCGCTAGCATGTACTGTTGATATAAGTACCGCTGCTTCTGCTACCACGAATATTACTACTACTGTTACTACTGCTAAGGAGGAATGCCACTATAAACTTTAAGCCATGCACAGAAATCTTATTCCCCCATCGCAAGAGTCGTATATCGTTCTGAGACGATTTAACAACAATTTAATCATAACACACTCTCTCCCTGTCCAGAATCCAGTGTATGCGTTTTTACGTCAATTACTTTTCTTTTCTGTAACCCGTTTCTTTTCTATACTATTCTTTTCTGATATATAAAAAACATTAACAATTCAATCATTGAATAGTTGTTTGTCTGGCTTTCTGCAGATATTAATTTTTTTTTCTGCTGCATTCTAAATTTCTTAGCACAGACTCTCCAGCTGTGTCGACATCTTCAGTCGACCACGAATGGATGAACATCACTTCTGCTTTATGGATCAAACCAAACACAACGTGGGCAGAAAGCAGGTTTAAACCAGTGGACCAGTCAAATAATTTACAGATGCTCAGGGTACCTATGGCCACTCCCTTAAGTTCGGTTAGAACCGAGTAGACACTTCAACCCAGAGAAGACGTTGGAGGTTGAGGGGCTGGGGTGAAAGTGTTAGAAGACAGGATAACGATCAGGGACCATAAATGCATTTAATTTACGAAATTCCACACAAGGTTGAAATCCTTT